TTGCTGGCTGAGGCAGAAACAAATGGGCCGTGTTTCTGTTCACCTTGTAGTAAACAGGTATCATCTGCATCTTATGGATGTGTTGGTAGTGGTGCTGGTGTGTGTACTCACCTAGTTGTGTTTGCGGGGGTTGAGTTCTGGCTCTTTGGTCCCGCCTCTCAACTGGATTTGTGTGTGTGTGTGTGTACTCACCTAATTGTACTCACCTAATTGTGCTTGCGGGGGTTGAGCTCTGGCTCTTTGGTCCCGCCTCTCAACCGTCAATCAACTGGAGTACAGATTCCTGAGCCTATTGGGCTCTATCATATCTACATTTAAAACTGTGTATGGAGTCAGCCTCCACCACATCACTTCCTAATGCATTCCATTTACTAACTACTCTGACACTGAAAAAGTTCTTTCTAACGTCTCTGTGGCTCATTTGGGTACTCAGCTTCCACCTGTGTCCCCTTGTTCGCGTCCCACCAGTGTTGAATAGTTCATCCTTGTTTACAAGGATGAACTTGTGTACTCACCTATATGTACTCACCTATATGTGCTTGCAGGATCGAGCATTGACTCTTGGATCCCGCCTTTCTAGCTATCGGTTGTTTACAGCAATGACTCCTGTCCCATTTCCCTATCATACCTAGTTTTAAAAGTATGAATAGTATTTGCTTCCACAACCTGTTCCCCAAGTGCATTCCATTTTTCTACTACTCTCACGCTAAAAGAAAACTTCCTAACATCTCTGTGACTCATCTGAGTTTCCAGTTTCCACCCATGTCCCCTCGTTCTGTTATTATTACGTGTGAACATTTCATCTATTTCCACTTTGTCAATTCCCCTGAGTATTTTATATGTCCCTATCATATCTCCTCTCTCCCTTCTTTTCTCTAGTGTCGTAAGGTTCAGTTCCTTCAGCCGCTCTTCATATCCCATCCCTCGTAGCTCTGGGACAAGCCTCGTCGCAAACCTCTGAACCTTCTCCAGTTTCTTTATGTGTTTCTTCAGGTGGGGGCTCCATGATGGCGCGGCATACTCTAAGACGGGTCTCACGTAGGCAGTGTAAAGCGCCCTAAAAGCTTCCTCATTTAGGTTTCTGAATGAAGTTCTAATTTTCGCCAGTGTAGAGTACGCTGCTGTCGTTATCCTATTTATATGTGCCTCAGGAGTTAGATTAGGTGTCACATCCACTCCCAGGTCTCTTTCTCGAATCGTTACAGGTAGGCTGTTCCCCTTCATTGTGTACTGTCCCTTTGGTCTCCTGTCACCTGATCCCATTTCCATAACTTTACATTTACTGGTGTTAAACTCCAGTAGCCATTTCCCTGACCATCTCTGCAGCCTGTTTAAGTCCTCTTGGAGGATCCTACAATCCTCGTCTGTCACAACTCTTCTCATTAATTTTGCGTCATCTGCAAACATTGACATGTATGATTCCACTCCTGTAAACATATCATTTACGTAAATTAGAAAGAGGATTGGTCCCAGCACCGATCCTTGAGGTACTCCACTTGTTACTGTTCGCCAGTCCGACTTTTCGCCCCTTACCATTACCCTCTGGCTCCTTCCTGTTAGGTAGTTCTTCACCCATACTAGGGCCTTTCCGCTTACTCCTGCCTGCCTCTCAAGTTTGTATAGCAGTCTCATGTGCGGTACCGTATCAAAGGCCTTTTGGCAGTCAAGAAATATGCAGTCTGCCCAGCCTTCTCTGTCCTGCCTTATCCTTGTTACTTTATCATAGAATTCTAAAAGGTTTGTTAGGCATGATTTCCCTGTCCAGAACCCATGTTGGTGCTTGTTTACAAACCCAATGCTCTCCAGGTGCTCAACAAGTCTTAGCCTAATTATTCTTTCAAGTATTTTGCAGGGGATGCTTGTCAGTGATACGGGTCTGTAGTTAAGTGCCTCCTCCCTATCACCCTTTTTGAAAATCGGTACGACATTTGCCTCCTTCCAGCAACTGGGCAATTCTCCCGACATAAGTGACTCATTAAAGATCATTGCCAGAGGCACGCTGAGAGCCTGCGCTGCCTCTTTGAGTATCCACGGTGATACTTTGTCTGGTCCAACAGCTTTATTTGCATCCAGTGTTGTCAACTGTTTCATTACATCCTCTGCTGTCACCTCTATATCCGATAGTCTTTCATCTTGGGTAATCTCTTCTAACAATGGGAGCTGCTCAGGCTCGGTTGTGAACACTCCATGGAATTTTGCATTCAGTACCTCGCAGATTTCCTTGTCGCTTTCTGTATATGCCCCTTCTGTTTTCCTCAGTCTTGTCACTTGGTCATTTACCGACATCTTCCTTCTTATATGGCTATGTAGTAATTTTGGTTGCTTTTTCGCTTTGACTGCAATATCGTTCTCATAATTTCTTTCCGACACTCGTCTTATGTTAATGTAATCATTCCTAGCTCTGTTACATCTAATCCTGTTGTCCTCTGTCCTTTGTCTTCTGTACTTCCTCCACTCCCTCCTGCTTCTCACCTTTGCTTCCTGACACTGTCTATTAAACCATGGGTTATTATATTCCCTCCTGCTTTTTTCCTTTATTGTTGGAATAAATCTATCTTCAGCCTCCAATATGACTTGGTTCATCATACCTTGCACTGTTTTTCCTCTAAGTTCTTCCTCCCACTGCACTTCTCCCAGGTAGTCCCTTATCCTTCTGTAGTCCCCTTTTCTGTAATCAAGTCTCCTTTCCCGGACCTCTTGTCCTTTGGTCACAATTTTAAGCTCCATCATGTAGTCAAAGACTAGGACACAATGGTCACTAGCTCCTAGTGGTATTTCATGTTCCAACTGCTCGATGTCTTCTACATTCTGAGTGATAATGAGATCTAATAGGCTGGGCATATCCCCTCCTCTTTCCCTAGTATCTTCTTTCACATGCTGTGTTAGGAAATTCCTGTCAATAACGTCTACCAGCTTCGCTCCCCAGGTCTCCTCCCCGCCATGGGGATTCCTCGTTTCCCAATTTATCTCTCCGTGATTTAGGTCCCCCATGACCAGCAGCTTCGCTCTCATTCTATGCGCTAAAGTTGCTGCCCTCTGCAGTTCATCCATACATGTCTTGTTGCTGTCCTCGTACTCCTGCCTGGGCCTTCTACTGTTTGGTGGGGGATTGTAGAGTATCAAGATTACAATCTTCTTCCCATCCACTGTCAGAGTTCCATGTATGAAGCTTGTGCTTTCATTGGTACCCGGATTTTCCAGCTCATCAAACTTCCATTTCCGCTTTATTAGTAGTGCCACTCCTCCTCCCTGTCTCTGTGTCCTTTCTTTTCTTATCACCTTATTTCTTATTTCTTGTGTGTGTGTGTGTGTGTGTGTGTGTGTGTGTGTGTGTGTGTGTGAGAGAGAGAGAGAGAGAAAGAGAAATATATGTACTAAATATAATACAGGAAAAATAGATCGGAAGTCAGTACATTAGACAGTCGACGGCTAGAAAGGCGGGGTCCGATAGGTACAACAACTCGATCCACCGTGCACAAATAGTAAATACACACTTCCGTACACCCCCTTGCAACCCTTCTCTCTCACCCTGTTATGTCTCTCTCTCAACTCAACCATTATTCCTCTTTCTTGAGGAATAATAGATGAGATGAGGTAAGAAAACATTAATTGGAACGGGATGAGACTAAGGCTGTTAGATCCATCTCAAATGTGTAAAAGGAAGAAGCAAAAACTCATTCACTTTCTATGGAGTATAATGAATCATTGGAGACAGGAGAACAGGTAGAAAATAGGAAGACAGTGTGTGTCAGAATACATGAAGGAAGAGAGATAGAAGTCAGCAAACTACAGGCCCTTAGCCTCATCTTATACCCCATGCAAGGTAACGGAGAAGACAATAAGAGGCTTGTTGCCCACCTGTATAAAATATATAATATAATGCATCTTAATAAGCACAGGTAAAAGCTTCTTTTCTTCACTATGGCACAACTGTCAGCAGGTGACTTTTTTGTGGAGTCTTTTGCTATATCTCTGATCTATCCCCTATTCTCTATCCTCGTGTATTCCCATATTCTTGATATCTGGATATCCCCATATTCTCCTCAACAAATTCTTTACCAATATTACCACATTCTTTATTTTCTCCAGAGTACACGGCTCCTAAATTTTTATACCAAGTCACGAGATGTGAACACAATATAACTCAAAAAGCCCACAAAATATATTACTGATATTACGTTAATTTGAAAAATACAATAATAGTGGAACAATTAGTTAGCTTTTAATATATTACCCTCCTATTAATATTGGTAATTAGAGGATAGGCATTGCAACTCATAAGAAAATCCGATTAATTCTGATTATATTTTAATTGTGATGATTATTTTGTAATTGCCCTATTACCTATGATTTTCCTATATTAGCCACATGGATGACGTCATTTGTGTTTAAGGGTTAAAAAGACGGAGTTTGAGGCATTAGTCAGCTTTCCTCCAGCTAAAATATTATTACTATAACCTCCAGGTTGATGCTTTCTGACTGTTACCATTAATAGTGCAGGAGCTACTGACGTTAAGGACAAACTTATTCTCGACCAAACATCACAGATGGTGAGAGGAGAGAGAGAGAGAGAGAGAGAGAGAGAGAGAGAGAGAGAGAGAGAGAGAGAGAGAGAGAGAGAGAGAGAGAGAGAGAGAGAGAGAGAGAGAGAGAGAGAGAGAGAGAGAGACTAATATATCATTAAGGTCTCGCCTGATACAGTAGTTCTAACCCATGCCCTCTCATCGTGCCTCTGAAGATGCTAAACATTGCGTCGTTGAAACATTTTGCCAAAAAAGTTTAAATATCTGGTATGTGATGATCATGCAGCCCCGTCCCTCTCGAGTTGTCACAACGGACATAAAATAGCGTAGTAAAACACCTGAACCTAACCTAACCAAACCGATGAACTCACGTACAGAAAACGTATATGAGCCGCTTTGATTCATTGTACATCATACTATTGTCCATTGGGGGATTTAGACGTCAACATGCGAGGTGCCGTTGACAGGTTGGATCACCTCTGTCTCTTCTTCAGCGTCGAAGTGTCCTCAGCAGCCTCTCCATGCTCTCGAGGACTGTTGTTCCAGGGATGAGACGTGTAGCACACCTCTGGAGCCACTCCGGCTCTATTGTAGCAGATCTTGTTCTGTGGAGTCATGTTCTGCCGCTTGTCGATGGTGTGTGTATACCCACCGTCTTGAAGGCTTCATTGACCAGGTGCCTGAAGGCTTCATTGACCAGGTGCCTGAAGGCTTCATCGTCTAGTGGCACACCTTTGAACCTTCTCCAGCTTCGTCTTATGCTTGACAAGGTGTGGATTCCATACTGAAGCCGCATACTCCAGGATTGGTCTTACATATGTGGTATTCAAGGTTATAAATGTTCCCTTACAGGTACGAACCAACAGGAGACTCGCTGTCTCCTGTTGGTTCGGTACTCCCTTATCCATGTGTACCTTCCCTTTTATTCCTGCCTGTATCTCCAGCTTGTGCACTAGTCTCATTTGGGATACCGTGTCAAAAGACTTTTTGGCAATCTAAAAATATGCAGTCTGTCAACCCTTCTCTTTTTTGCCTGATTTTTGTCGCTTGTCATAGAATTCAATTAATCCTGTGAGGCAAGACTTGCCAGCCCTGAATCCATGCTGGTGATGTGTTACAAAGTCTTCGATGTCTTTTGCTCCAGATGTTCTACTAGTTTTTTTTTCGCACAATCTTTTCTATTATCTTGCATGGCATGGAAGGTAGGGATACTGGCCTGTAATTCAGTGCCTCCTGTCTATCACCCTTCTTGTATATCGGGACTACATTAGCTGTCTTCCAAATTTTTGGCAGTTCTCCTGTTACCAGTGATTTGTTATACAGCATTGAGAGTGGCTGACACAGAGCTTCTGCTCTTTTTTGTTTTTAGAATCCACGGTGAGATTCCGTCCGGGCCTACAGCCTTTGCCACATTCAATTCAAGCAAATAGTTCCCGAACAAACAGGAAATGCAATTGCATTTGTGCAAATGTTCGTGCAAATACACAAACTGTGTGTGTGTGTGTGTGTGTGTGTGTGTGTTTAGATAACGTACGGGGCAATACATTAAAACGGAGCATCATAACTCTTCTCTCAGCTTGTGAGGAAAGAAAAATGAGTCTGGTGAAAAATATGCCTGGCCAGTAAAGACTCGTTGGCCATTAATAGCGAGCAGATGCTAATCTATGCATGCTTGGAGGGCAGAGCAGCAGCAGAGGCAGCAGAAGCAGTTAAAGTGGGGTGATCCTCCCTGATGCAGGTGGAATATGGTGGTAGTCCCCAGTGCTGCAGTGTGGTAGAAGCGGTGGTTGTCCACCGTGATGCAGGTGGAATATGGTGGTAGTCCCCAGTGCTGCAGTGTGGTAGAAGCGGTGGTTGTCCACCGTGATGCAGGTGGAATATGGTGGTAGTCCCCAGTGCTGCAGTGTGGTAGAAGCGGTGGTTGTCCACCGTGATGCAGGTGGAATATGGTGGTAGTCCCCAGTGCTGCAGTGTGGTAGAAGCGGTGGTTGTCCACCGTGATGCAGGTGGAATATGGTGGTAGTCCCCAGTGCTGCAGTGTGGTAGAAGCGGTGGTTGTCCACCGTGATGCAGGTGGAATATGGTGGTAGTCCCCAGTGCTGCAGTGTGGTAGAAGCGGTGGTTGTCCACCGTGATGCAGGTGGAATATGGTGGTAGTCCCCAGTGCTGCAGTGTGGTAGAAGCGGTGGTTGTCCACCGTGATGCAGGTGGAATATGGTGGTAGTCCCCAGTGCTGCAGTGTGGTAGAAGCGGTGGTTGTCCACCGTGATGCAGGTGGAATATGGTGGTAGTCCCCAGTGCTGCAGTGTGGTAGAAGCGGTGGTTGTCCACCGTGATGCAGGTGGAATATGGTGGTAGTCCCCAGTGCTGCAGTGTGGTAGAAGCGGTGGTTGTCCACCGTGATGCAGGTGGAATATGGTGGTAGTCCCCAGTGCTGCAGTGTGGTAGAAGCGGTGGTTGTCCACCGTGATGCAGGTGGAATATGGTGGTAGTCCCCAGTGCTGCAGTGTGGTAGAAGCGGTGGTTGTCCACCGTGATGCAGGTGGAATATGTTCAAGTAAAACAAACTTACAACTCACATATTTGTGAAAACATCACACAATGTATTCAGGACAGTTCCCGCAAGTCCGACAATCGCTCGCAATCAAAGTTTCCAAATGTTTTGTGACAGGCGGTTTTGTTTTCGTTTTTTTGGACAATAGAATCGTATCAGGAGACCCTGAGAGAGAGAGAGAGAGAGAGAGAGAGAGAGAGAGAGAGAGAGAGAGAGAGAGAGAGAGAGAGAGAGAGAGAGAGAGAGAGAGAGAGAGAGAGACCTGCACATCTTTTTAGTCTGCTCTCTGTTGGGTGGAACGTGAGCTAATTTCCAGTATTAAAAATTGACGTAAGATTAACTCGGCTCAGCTTCCCACCGACGATACCCTTAGATACGGGTTTAGTAAGATGACTACCTAACTAACCACTGAAATCAAAATTAAACGAACACAAAAATATTTACAATGGAGAAAAACAATTTATAAACATCACATTATTGTGATTCCTTTGTGTTCTGAAGTGAGCATTTGGTGTAAAACTCCATTATCCACACCAGAGTACAGGCGAGCTGTTCGTAAAACCTGATTGTGCTCCCAGTTGGACCCTCCTGCCACCCCCTTAGGGGACTCGGTAGAGTCCCTGGCTGAATAGCTTTTGTCCTATCACGGCCTAGTAGGTTAAGGCGTGCATGTGTTACTCCCCAGGACGCTGGTTCAAATCCCCGCATTGCTGGGATTGGTTTTATGGTTTATCTCAGAAACTGGTTTTCTCAGAATAATACTTGCTATAATCACTGTGTTAAGAAGAAATATAGTTTTGCTAGGAAAGCAAGATAAAATATAAAATTATAATTAGGATAATTAGCGATCCAAAAAACATTTAGTTGAAACGTGATATTGGTAACATAACAAGATACAGTGATCTATCCGAACTGAACTATTTAGGAAAGGATTGTAGCTAAGCTGACTACATATGTTAGGATTACAGGCAAAATTGGCCATATATGTCAGACCATACTACATATGCCTGGACAACAAACAAACCTGCCTACATACCTCAGACTAACAAGGGTGAATTGTCTGAGACAACAAGTAAAGGCAGCAGAGATTTCTACTTTACCATTCGATAAAGAAATTAGTTAAAAAATGCCTTCCTTGAAATATGATGTTGTGAAATAAAATTTGCAACCTTACGTCATGGATAAGTGTCTGGTAAGAAAGTACAGAGAGAAAGTACAGTTCTGACTTTACTTTCATCTTCTACTTCTTCTACTATTTCTACTATACTTGCACTCCTCTCGCTGCAACTTGCACGACTTTGGCCCGCCTGTAAGTGTAAGTGTATAAACATTAACCCACTCTGACCCATCTTGCAAGTGTATGCAAGTTTTGGCCATCTTGCAAGTGTATGTAAGCTTTGGCTATTTTCAAGTGTATGTAAGCTTTGGCCATCTTGCAAATGTATGTAAGCTTTGGCCATCTTGCAAGTGTATGTAAGCTTTGGCCATCTTGCAAGTGTATGTAAGCTTTGGCCATCTTGCAAGTGTATGTAAGCTTTGGCCATCTTGCAAGTGTATGTAAGCTTTGGCCATCTTGCAAGTGTATGTAAGCTTTGACCATCTTGCAAGTGTATGTAATCTTTGACCATCTTGCAAGTGTATGTAATCTTTGACCATCTTGCAAGTGTATGTAATCTTTGACCATCTTGCAAGTGTATGTAATCTTTGACCATCTTGCAAGTGTATGTAAGCTTTGACCATCTTGCAAGCTTGAACTTCACACACCTTAATGATAAACTTTCATTCTTACTCCCTCCCTCCCTTCCCCCCCCCCCCCACCCAAAAATGAAGAGCAACTTTGTGCATATTTTAAAACAGTTTAGGTATTTTTCTGTGTTAGAATTTCATAACTCTTGGGTCAATTTTCATCCGCTTCCTAACAATTTGACTTTATAATTTTTTTTTAGAACTTTGGGGGTAATTTTTGTGCACACTTTTATGTACTAGTTTCCTAATATGACGACGGATCAGTGTTATGAGGGAAAATATATTATTTTTAATGAGTAGAAATATTATTTTTAATGAGTAGAAATATTATTTTTAATGAGTAGAAATATTATTATTATTTTGTTAAATATTGAATTTTGAAAATTTAGGATAACTATTGGTTATTTTTGTGATTGAATCCCTAAGTATGGCTTCCTTAACTTACAGCTTTCTAGTTATAGCCGCCCTAACATTAACTTCTAAACTGTAGCTGTACTAATTTTTTAGCTTTCCTTAACTGTTCTTACTTCTTAATGACGTTTCTATGGTCTAATATTTCCAGTGCTACAAACCCTTCACACAGTCCTCCACCACAGTCACCACCACTACCACACAACCACGACAGTCACCTTCACAACACCACCACAGTCACCACCAACACCACCACAGTCACCACCAACACCACCACCACAGTCACCACCAACACCACCACAGTCACCACCAACACCACCACCACAGTTACCTTCACAACACCACCACAGTCACCACCACAACACCACCACAGTCACCACCAACACCACCACCACAGTCACCACCAACACCACCACCACAGTCACCTTCACAACACCACCACAGTCACCACCACCATCACAGTCACCACCACAGTCACCACCACCACCACAGTCACCACCACAACACCACCACCACCACAGTCACCTTCACAACACCACCACCACCACAGTCACAATCAAGACCACAACACCACCACCACCACCACAACACCACCACCACCACAGTCACAACCACCACCACAGTCACCACCACCACCACACCACCACCACAACACCACCACCACCACAACACCACCACCACCACACCACCACCACAACACCACCACCACCACAACACCCCAAATAACTTCCAACCCACTACCCCATTACAATAATCTTGAGAGCACCCCCTCACAATAACCTTCCCCACTGTGTTCCTCCCCATCAATCTTGGGACTAAAACTCCATTATTATGGATAAATATCCTGTCTTACCCACAGGTCTCAGTGAGTAGGTTCACGTGAAGGATGAGGAAGGAGGAAAGTAA